CCTGTGGGGCAGTACAGTGTTTGTGTATTCAGAGCATGATAGCCTACTTTTAGATCACAACTTTAGTGCTTCAATTAAATTTAACTTTTACAAAAGAAATACTTCATCTGTATCAGCCAATACTCAAGGTTTCAGTATCAGCCAATACTGAAGTATTGATACCAATACTGGAGTATTGATACTGTTATTGGAAAAGAAAAAATGACATCATACCATCTACACAAATATAAGTGGATCTAGGGGAAAAAACAAAATTCAAATGAAATGTAGGATATGACCCTTTAGCCAATCACAAGGAATGGGTTTACAGCGAAGCTAAGGTTTCTGACCTTTTGCCTTGCGCCAGCATCCTCCTTGATAAAAGTGAACCATGGCATCCCACGTGCCATACATCTTTTACTATTAGCCAACATGGCCCTGACAGGGGAAAGTCAGTACCACACCAGATCTCCTGACCTTTTCAGTCATACCATCACTCTCTTTGATATGAACAAATGACCAGGGGCATTAGGGCCAAAGCGGCACAGGGCATACAGCAGCAGCAATCTGTGGGCGTTAAGTGGGAGTCTATAGTGATATGTAACTGCTGTGCTTTGACCTAGATTAGCAGGAAAGTAAAAATAACTTCTAAGCATACTTCTGCTCCATCTCTCGAATTCTCTTCCTCTCTTCATCTGTCTATTATATTCAAACTCCTCTTCTCTCTGTCATACACACGTGCACACACTTACAGTGCTGAGGCTCTGTCTCTTTCCCTCACTCTCCTCTCTCTCTCTTTTTCCCTGCAGGTCCCCTTGGTGTGAAAAACGCCAAATCCAACGTTAACAAGATTCATTAGTGAGCGATGGTAATTGAGTGTAGAGTGATGTGGCTGTTTCTCTTTAGGACTCTGCGAGGGGCTGCTTTTAGCTGTGTGCGATTAGCAGCCTGACTATTCCAGCCTGTTTGGAGAAGGCAGAAGGGGAGGTAGGTTTTGTAATTCTCCTGTAAAGTCATTTATACCACAATTGAGGCTCATCAAAGCATGCCCGGAGAGAAAGTGTCTCCGCCAAGCCTCTGCCGTCACTCATCTGGGGAAGAGTGATACCCACACGTCCAGCTCAGCAGGGACACTACTCCTTCAGGGCAGAGAGGGCGTGCGAGCGTGTGTGTGTGAACACGTGAGAGAGAGAGAGAGATAGAGAATGAAAGAAGGAGGACCAGATGTACATGCGTAAATGAGAAACGCAGCCTCCATTAGCGTTCAATTTGCTTCGGCTGCAGCTAATCACGCAAACAGCTCGTAGGACCGTCTGATAATAATTGTGCTATGCTTGTGAAGTGTAGGGTTTAAAAGCCACAGTGAACATCAACAAACTCAGGGCAGAAAGAGAAAATGCAACTAGGGTTGTGAATTTTTGAGCTGACAGAGAGTTGATTTGATTCACGATCCACTGTATTTCTTCAAATCTGCCCAATAAGTCATCTTCTGATGATCTGTTAAAATCAGTGTTTGAAGTATGTCGTTTGATGTGACCACATCATGCACTGTTAGTGTTTTCACTGGCTGTTTCATGAAACTTATTTCCCGAAGTTGAGACGCTTGCAACTGTTGTGGCTGAGTTTCAAGTGCATTGCAGGGTGCTTTACATTATGCAACTCAAAGCCAATTTAGTTTCACGTAGGTTTCAAGCAACCTGCATGAAAGTTGCACTATGTAAAGCCAGCCTTATTCTGAATGTAAATATGCTTCATCCAGTCACCATGCATGGACTATGGCTTCCAGCAACATGCATTTGAAACACTGTCTCTACTTATCACCTGGTGGAGAAAATTTCATGCAAAACTGCCCGCTAGAACTTTAGTAAATTGAACAGAATGTGAAATTGTGAAATTAGCTACACTTCCAATCCTCTACAAATCCTCCCTTAAATGCATATGTATGTGAGAGAGAAATTGACTTTGCGTTTTTCCATATAAGCCTAAATGCAAACCATCCATTTAGCCTCCTATGCAAGTTTCAGACATAATGTGCATGCTTTTTTGGGTAGAATGCATCCTGTTTGTGCATTGTGCAAAAGGCTTAGTACATCTGGCCCAAGAGAATTCACCAAAGGTGCTTCAACCTTGTTAAGAGAATTTAGCTGCAGTATTATTGGACCATGCTAAAATACGACTGGGCTCTCATACACTAAAAGTAGCTACAGTGATGAGGATCTCTTGGGATGTGAGTGTATTCCCTGATTGGTGTTTACTATATGTGTACACGCTGAGAGGCATGTGGGTGTATTTCTGAGTGTGTGTTATGTGTATGCGCGTGCGTGTCCATGAACATGTAAAAAATCTGATAGTAAGGCTCCCTACCCGGCAAAGTGCATCTTCTCATTAGAGCCCTAATTTGACTAATGGAGGCTTTTTGGGGTGAACACACGTCCGCTGATAGACTCTAATAGCAGGCGCCTGCAGAAACAGCTATTGTGTCTGTGTTTTGATCCTTTCCTGCCGCTAATCACACAGGAACTGGCCCATTTCTGATGGCCCTGGAGCCCCACCGCACACCCCACCACCTGCCCTCCCCCCCAAAATGAGCCGTCCTACCACTGACAAGCTGTGATTTAAGCGGAGCACGGGTCACTTCATCTCCAGAGGGGGCTTGCGAACACCAGCAGAATTACAATTCCCAGTGTCAGAGGGCTGTACTTTATTACCAGACAGAGCATAGCCCCCACCTCCATGTAAAAAAAGCCCCGACGAGGCACATGTAACGCCCTGAAGATGCCCTGTTGTGAATATACCACACACTGCTTGACACATAAAGCAAACATGTGCATTAATTATGTGGGAGAATACTGTATGAAGACAAAGCAAATGGCAACAAGCCACCCACGTGCACACTAATGCAGATACACACTCGACATGGTGCACGAAAAGAATATGTGAGAGGACTAATCTGACTTATCTGACACTCCATCTGAAGGATGGTCTACAGAGAGATAGCACACCATTTCACCTTCTACTCAGTATTACTTTTGCTGTCACATGGACTGACACGTACTTATACACGTACATACAGGTCGGAAAAGCATTTACCATGAACAGCTTTGGACAAGTAATTGAATGAAGCCAAAAGCATATACCTGCAAGAAGCTGTCACTTGAAAAAAATATTCTGACAGTATCCCAAAGCTAGTGTACATGTGCAACATGTGCAGAGATGCTCTTATGAAGAGGAAACTAGGTCTTGAAAGAAGGCAACAGCAGAAAGCAACAAAAAACTCAATCACACAGCACTGTTCATAAGTCAGAGGCCACCCTTCATTTGTTTCATTTCCAGTTAAACCTTCATTAAGTACAAGTTGTTAATTTTTCAGGAGATATTTCTGAGGAGATGAGGAAATTGGATTTCATCCACTTGCATAAAGAAGAGGAAAGTCAAAGGAAACAGAGTGAGCAAAATAGAACTTACCAAAACTGTGGTTGAGAAAAAGATTAAAAGATATTGAGAAAATGGGACTCCTAACAACCAGGCTGTGCTTGGTAGCCCACCAACACTGGCCCCATCAGACAAACAGCACTTAAAGCTTTCATCTTTCCACTCTTGCTTCAGGTCTGATATAATTTCTGTCTATCCATTCATTGTGAGAGTGTTATTGAGAAAAGCAGATTTGCAAATCGAACAAAGAAGCTGCTGGCGTTCTCAGAACAATGGACTGACCACCCCAGAGTCCAGACCTCAACATCACTAAATGTGTTTAAAATGACTTGGATCATGACAGGCAGAAACTGTAACCAACATCTAAGTCTGAACTTTGAAGATGTGGAAAAATGTCCCTGCAGATTTCCTGGAACTGAAAGAAAGTCTGCTAAAAAAAAAGAATGGAACCTGTAATAAATGCAAAAGGGTGGACACACTATGTAGTAAAACACTTGCTATTATATTTAGTTGCTAAAGCTTCTGTGTAACTTTCTGTTCAATTTCTGTTTTAGTTTTCTGCTTTTTTCCTGTAAATAACTTGTAATTAATGGCCATTTTGAAATATCAGATCAGAAAATCATTTATAGATGTTGAATGATAAGAGGGCAATTATATGCCTACAATAAACCATAAGGGGTAAGCGATACGTCAAAAATATAATATTGTGATACATGAAGACATTATCATGATGCACAATATGCATTTTAGGTTTGTTGAAATGGAACCAGTACAATGCACAAGCAGTGACACATTTAAAAAAAAAAAACTAAACAAGTTTTTTATTTAACATTTTACTCCCAGTGCAGCACTAAATCCACTTAACAGAAACAATTATGTTCTCTTTGTGATGAAACATGCAGTTGGTCTGTCTTCTTTTAGTACAGACAATATCCATAATAGTCTTAGAAAAATAAGGATGTAATTTATCACAATAACGATAAATATAACCATATTGTCAACCTCTACTGTCAACTGAAAAAAAGAGAAACATTCAGACAGCACAGTATGCTCAGTGTCCCAAGGGCTGTGTTGCATCAAGTAGTAACAGAGATGCTAAAGTTAGAACGTAAAGGGGACACTACATCCTGGAGAAAAACAGCAGCAATCTTTTGTTGAGGCATCTAACATCCCCTACCAAATATCACAGCCCTGCAATTCATTATTTGCAAATATATCTAAAATATAGTCACTCCAAGTATAGAAACCAACTAGAGGAAAAAAACACAATGGTCTCTCTTGTATTGTCTATGTCCAGGTCCCACTTCTTTTTTTTTTTCTTTTCTGCTCAGGAAGTTTAATAAAACTGAGACATGCACTGCAGAGAGGGACTCTCATACAAAGCTGACACACAAAGACTTTCAGTGATGTACAGATAAAGAAAATAACACTGCACACACACTCGGGGGGGACATGAGATTAGAGTAGATATACAGGTAATAATGCCAAGAAGTCTCTCATCTTCTCTCTCTCACTCTCTTTCTATCTTTCTCTCTCTCAATCATACACTCAAAGAAGTCAAAAAGTAATGGAATTTTTTTTACACTTACCCAGAAGAGCAGGTTGAAGAAGACCATGGCGTAGCGCAGGGCCCTCATGCAGCCCTCGGCCATCCTGCAGCGCCGCAGCTCTAGGAGGAAGATGAAGGAGAGGTCCAGGTAAAACACTACATACTTCCTGCCTTGTGCTGTGGCATAGCCAGCTTTGGCCGTCTGTGTGCCCGGCGCGGTACGGAAGCCAAAGCCAAATGGCGCGCTGCGGTACTCGTACTCGCCGCTGTAACGTAGCGGGGGCGAGCCCGCCTTGCTGTCCAGGGATGGACTGCGCCGGTACGGAGTCTCATCCGTACTTGAGCGCCGCATCTTGGGGTTGGGGGCCGGTGCGGGCACCGGGGCCCCCAGGGGCCAAATGATCCCCACTTCGACAAAGTTTCGGTACCAATTTAAGAGAAAAAATTTAGACGCACAAGAAAGATGTGACGAAAAACAATCCCTTTGTCCTTAGTTGGCCATGATTGCTTGTGTCTTTGTGACAAAATGAGTTTACATAGTTTAAAGAACTTCAGAAGGTTTTAAAATGGTCCTAGAGCCAAACACACCAAAGCTCCGCAAATTAAAGGAAAGAAGTGTTGACACAAAAGAAAATATGAAGCAAAACAATCCCTTTGTCTTCAGTTGGCCAAGGTAACACCTGTCTTTGGGACAAAAAAGTTTACATGATTCAAAGAACTTCAGCAGGCCAAAGCTCCTTGCTCTGAAAGTAAGTTCAAAGTCATATCACAAGCTTCAGCACCAGGCAGGTCCAGCTGAGGTCCAACCACACCTCTTAAATCTCAAGTGATCTCCAATCCATTTCTCATCTTCGCTTTCTTTTCTCTAGCCCGCTAATGCATGCATACTCCAGTACTCCAAAGTGGCACTAAGGCTTCAATTCGGCACCAGATCAAGCACTCCAACAGTCGTTAATCTTGTCAGTCAGTCACCACTTTGGCTGCAGACTGAAAGGAGCCTTGCCATGGGAGCTGGGAGACAGGTGTGCAAGTAGTTTACCCGAAAAGAAAGCCCAGAAATCCTGCTAGTTAGTCAAAGAGCACGCTGTCTGCTAAGCGTTTCTCATATAGACATGCATGCACCCATGCATCTATACACCAGCTTTTGGCAGGACAAAGTCATACATGCACTGAGACCAAAAGCTTTGTGAAGATTTTCTCATACCAACCGAAGTTAACAGGCAGCGTGAATGGACAGATGGACAGATGAGCAAGTGAAGGAACTGAAAGATGAATGGAAGCATCCGAGCCAAGCAGCCTTGAATGCAGCAGGCAAAAATTTCTAGTCTACAGGCTCAGCTGTCTCTTGGCCATGTGGACGGTCTTCTTGTCTTCTTTTCCTCCTACTCTTTCTTTCCTTGCTGCTCTCCACCTGTCTCCTGTGCTTATTTTTATTTCTGCAGCTGGTGGTGATGAACCACTTTTGCCTTGCACTTTCTTTCTTTCTTTAAACCTACTGTCTGTTTTAACCTTCCCTTAACCCCTAGCCTTTTATTCCTGCCTCTTCTTTATCCTTCCACTCTCTTTCTCTCTCAGCAAAAAGGCGCGCATCCAGATGTCCCGGCCACGGAATCAAGTGCCAAGTTCTTCCCTGGCTCTGCCCTGCTATTCTTTTCCCCTCCTTTCATCTGGTGCATTTATGTGCATCCCTGCATCCAGGTATGAAAGGACGGAGAGGTGGCCAAAGCAGAAAGCTGGACTGTATTCCTCAGAGGAAGCCAGAAAGACCGCAGCAGCAATGCTGGAGCCGGAGTCCACTCAGAGTGCCTGGAGCTCCCTCATTCTCTCTCTCTCTCTCTCTCTCTCTCTCTCTCTCTCTCTCTTTCTCTCTCTCTCTCTCCCCCCTCCTTCTCTCCCTCTCTTTTGCTCTCTCGCTCTCTCTCTTTCGTACACCCACTCTGACACACGCTTCGTGCACACAACCTCCTTCTCTTCCACCCTCCCCCTGCCTTATCGGTAACTGTCCCCAAGTCCTTACAGGGTGGGGTGTCTCACAAATCATTCAGAAAAAAAGCTCCGCCCCCTCGGAGATTAGCCAACCAACAGCCTCAGCTCCACTGTCCTCTAACATGGTCTCTCTCTCTCTTTCTCCCTCTCTCTCTCTCTCTCTCTTAAGCTCTGCTACAAAGGGACTGAGCTGGTTATTACACCAGTCGATGCAGCATAGCTCTTCTCCACCACAGCTGCCTGCTTTCTCTCCTTCATACCCTTCTTTCATCTCATGTTCCATGCATGCATCTATGCACACACCCAGCCCTACATTAGCACACGTATAGGCTACTAATGCAACCAGCAATCTACATGTCAGATCACATTCATGAGCCCCCGAAAGGAAATCTCAGCTGGCTCCTGGAGCACAGCACATATTCCTGGAAGGGCTTATAAAAAATTACATTAAGCAGCAGAGAAAGCTTCTTGCTTCAGTCGCTCAGTCCCATTGCAGGTCTGCTGAAAGCTTAATTTGATAACTGCAACGACGAGACGGCTTGTTTGCAGAACCTGTCTGGAATGCAAGAGCACATGTGTGTGCGCTTTTGCATTAGTGTGTGACGGTCTGATTTCCCAGTGCTGGTATCTCATCACTCACCATCTCTGCAATCTGCAGGCTGCTCAACCCTTATAGACTGAACGTGCCGTCTCCAACACGTTCACAATATGTACAATTTGAGATATCAACATGCTTCATATTCCACGTTAAACTAAGGAACGTTAAACTAATGAGCTGTCCAACAAAATGTTATGTGTGCTGCTGTGTGTTGTATATCCTTCTGAAATACCCTGATCTACACCACATCAATGGAATCACCAGTAATGCATGCACATTAGATTATAATACATGTAGAACATTTTTTACTGTTGTTTCTTTCTTTATTGTCATTGCTTGTAGTGTATTAAATATACCATCCAGGAGATCCAACTAGCTTTAGAGACTCTCCAACATTGCTGAGAGTAGCAAATTTCATGATGACTTTTGAAAACTTTCAAATATTTGACATCAAACTTTAAAGAAAAACAAGATGTTCTTCAAGTTGTATGCTGGAATACTACACATGCTTTTTGACTGCTGTGAGGACGAGGCTGCAGATACTTGAGAAACATCAGGAGTGTGATGTGGCTCTGTACAGCTAGATAGCAATACACACCTGTAAGAGCATAAACTACAACACCTACTGACGACTTCATGATTTTATATGCGTTTGCATATTATTGTTGTTTTAAACATTGAAAATTTGTACAGTGCAGTGTAAATGTCAGCGACCACCCTTCATTCATTTCATTTCCAGTTTCATTTCCATAATGGCTATTAAGTTTATTCAATCCTTTTCAGTGTCAGAAAAAAAAAAATCAGGTGTAATCTTCAACAGAAAATTACACAGAACCGTCAACAACTAAACATGGTACCAAAACTTTCAGTACTTAAGCCCAATCCCATTGCACCCCTTGCCCCTACCACATAGCCCTACCCCTCCGTTTTGCGTTTTCACACCTAGGGCCAGTGTGTCCCGATGTCTGTTGAGATAGAGGGGTGGGGCGAAGTGTTAGGGCTACATGGCCCTCCAAACAGAGGTTTTCAGAGGCACACTCCAAACAGAGTGTTATGAGGAAAACAGAGAACCCAGCAAGATGTAAAAACCCCACAGATTTACATATTTTCTCTCTTAATAAATTATGATACGCATTGTATTATCTTAATTTACATTGTGTGTTTAATGTCATTTCAATGTATTATTTTCCTTTTCTTCATAACAAGCATAAAAATCACTAGTAGTATGCCGATGTCTCGGTAGCTGGCTAGCTAAATTTCCTGTTCCACCTTAAATGGTGCAGCAGAAACATTCTGGTGCCTTAGGTGCACCAGACTGCTGCACCATTTCAGGTGGAACAGAAAACTTTGAACAAGAACCTGGAGAATAGCTGAATTCATGTATTAGGGGTGGGGGGTAATAAATATTGTCACATCCCCCTCTTTGGCATATGTTGCCCTAAATGTAACTAACTGGATTTTCTATTCTCTTTTAAAGATGAAAGCTTTCCACACTCTTTATCTGATGGTAACAGGTGCATGGTTGTTAGGAGTCCCAATTTCAGTATATATTTGAATGTTTTGGTAACACTTTATTTCGACAGTCCACTGCAGATGGTTTGTAGACGTTCTGTCTGTCTTTACCTCTCAGCTAAATATTTATTAAATGCAACTGCAACTGAAGTTGAGTGTGACAGATTTTATTAAATCTAAGCCTAACCCTAAGGTCAGCAAAAAACCTACACCTACTCCTTAACCTAACCCTCACCCCAGTAGCGTTGATAGTCATCTGAGTATCACCAGAAAGGTTGTTAATAATAGTATCTGTAGATTATCTAATGAGGACCATTAAATTAAAATGTCATCAATTTTTAAAGTTTAGTTTTGGAAACTGGATTATCTTATATCTAATCTCCTCAGTAATATCTGAATCTAAAGGAAGGACTTGTACTTACTGGTCATTTTGACTGAAAATTAAATAAATGAGGGGCGGTCTCTGACTTTTCCACAGTGCTGTACGTCATTTGATACTAATGTGATATATCACCAAGTTACAGTCAACATTATAATGACATGTCTTGCCCCTTCTAGGCTTAAGTTCTAAAGGGTTAAACTGTTAAGCAGCAACTCAAGTGTGTGTGCGGATGTGTGAGTGTGTGCCGGTTATTGTTTTTTTTAAATAATGTATGATTAATTTTTAATCTCACACTTGTGATGAGGCAATCTAAGCAGTCTGTGTTATTCACAGTGGGTGAGAATTACAGGTGGCTCGGGGGTCCGAGCAACTTTGATAGAAGAATGCAGCAGATATGAGCAGGTGTTTGAGTGTGTGTGGTTTGGGACTTTGGCCCACTTAAAATTCTATCTCCAACATAAACACCTGGGATTTAAAATGGGGGACCAAGCACTGCTTCTGCATGATAATGTTGAACATAAAAATAAAATTTCAGCATCCCCACAGCGCACATTTATCAAAACCGTCTACATGGTCCATATCTAAACTTGCCGCACTATGCACAAAAGCCAAAAGTCCTTCATCACTTAGGAAAATCTCTCACGGGTAGCTGTGGAGCGTGTAGAGAACACTGAGAAAATAAGAATTGATTTGTCAGCTCATCAGTGTCTGGGAGAAAGCAATTAGGCATCCCACCGTACATAGACTGCAGTGATTAATGAATGCCTTTCATGGATTAAGGTTAAACTTTATGTCTGCATCATCTACATCATGCTGATTATGCTGGGTGCTGTTTTGCGTCTGTACCTTTGTACTTAAAGCAATACTCATGACTTTGAGTTTAACCGTGTTTAACCCTGAAACACTTTCTCTTTAATAAGCTCATGATGGGGTCAGCTATAAGTGATGTAACGACAGTGTAATTGGCCTTGAAGTGGAAATGTTTGACAGTGAGATAGCGCTTTGTTCTAGCAGTGTACTGTATATGAAAGATTTATGCAAGGATTTATAGGTTTCACAGAGACTGAGATATTAACTGTCACTGTGTAATCCACATGGTACACTAAGGGCGTTTTCTCACTTGTTCTGAATATTTGAGTCCACACCTGGAGGCTTTTGAGGAGGAGGGACTCACTATCTCAGGTTTTTTCATATTGGCCATTTTCCTCCAAACCGTGGATCAATTCTGTCACCTTAGTGCACATGATTTGGCAAAAAGGGTAGACTATAAGTCCACTCCTTTACTGGTTTTGACAATAAAGGTATGACAGTTGACAATTGGCTTATACACTATATTGCCAAAAGTATTCACTCACCCATCCAAATTGTCGATTTCAGGTGTTCCAATCACTTCCATGGCAACAGGTGTATAAAACCAAGCACCTAGGCATGCAGAATCAATTGCTACAGACCTCCAAACTTCATGTGGCTTTCAGATTAGCTCAAGAACAGAATAGAGAGCTTCATGGAATGGGTTTCCATGGCCGAGCAGCTGTATCCAAGTCTTACATCACCAAGCGCAATGCAAAGCGTCGAATGCAGTGGTGTAAAGTGCTGCCACTGGACTCTAGAGCAATGGAGACGTGTTCTCTGGAGTGACTAATCATGCTTCTCTGTCTGGCAATCCGATGGATGAGTCTGGGTTTGGCGGTTGCCAGGAGAACGGTACTTGTCTGACTGCATTGTGCTGAGTGTAAAGTTTGGTGGAGGGGGGATTATGGTGTGGGGTTGTTTTTCAGGAGTTGGGCTCGGCCCCTTAGTTCCAGTGAAAGGAACTCTTAATGCTTCAGCATACCAAGGGATTTTGGACAATTTCATGCTCCCAACTTTGTGGGAACAGTTTGGGGATGGCCCCTTCCTGTTCCAACATGACTGCGCACCAGTGCACAAAGCAAGGTCCATAAAGACATGGATGAGCGAGTTTGGTGTGGAAGAAACTGACTGGCCTGCACAGAGTCCTGACCTCAACCCGATAGAACACCTTTGGGATGAATTAGAGCGGAGACTGCAAGCCAGGCTTTCTCGTCCAACATCAGTGTCTGACCTCACAAATGCGCTTCTGGATGAATGGTCAAAAATTCCCATAAACACACTCCTAAACCTTGTGGAAAGCCTTCCCAGAAGAGTTGAAGCTGTTATAGCTGCAAAGGGTGGGCAGACATCATATTAAACCCTATGGATTAAGAATGGGATGTCACTCATGCGTGTGAAGGCAGACGAGCGAATACTTTTGGCAATATAGTGTATTTTTGTTATGGTTATGTTTCTTTATTAGGCTACTGACATAGCACATGTGTTCTCTGCAGTACTGTCAGTGCAAGCATTCCCACAATGTTTTCTTTCCTTTCAGACTGTAAATGGGGGACTCCCAAATCACACAATCATGTTAGCATCAGCTCTTAGAAGCTCAGTCTCAATCTCAATGCCACATCTTTCAAAGGCCGGGAGTCACATGTTCTAGCCTTTACCCTTCAGCTTGGTAGCATCATGTTGATAGGGGAGACCCAGCTAGTGGGTGGGGACTAGTAAAGACTAAATCTGGGGGAAAATTTGAGTAAAAACAAAAAAACAAACTTCAATTAAGGAGTAATGTGACAAAAATGAA